CGGGTCCTCATTTCACCCACCTCGGAAGGATGGAAGGCTGAGTCAACCTTGAGCCGGTGAGATTTGAACCGCCGAACTGCTGAACTGCAGTCAGCTGAAATAGCTTGCAGTGCTGCATTTAACCACTGCACCACCTCGGCACAGGCCTTCCGTGGGGCTTCCGGAAGGGTTTGCAAGGGGCCCCGTCTCCCACCTGCCCTCAGCAGAGCCAGGCTGACCCAGGTGCCTTGCCTGAGCAGGGCGGGGGTGGGTGGGTGGGCTGCAGCCCCCAGGATGGGCTTCCCGCTTGCAGCACTTGGCAAGGGTGGAAACTTGGCGGCCCCAGAAGAATGGAAATCTGTCTCCAGCTACCCCAACATCTCCTCCGTCCACACCGCCCCCCCTGCTCCCAGCTGACCAGAGGCCGGGAAGAAGGAGGGAGTCCAGCCTACCAGAGACGGCCCCACGGGGACGGAGGAAGCCGTGGGGAGAGGAGGGACTCCTAGCCAGGGGCCGAATCGCCTTAGTGGAGCCTCGCAGCTCCCTTTGGCCCATGCTCCACTCCCGGTGGGCTGGCCCACTCCAAGGCAAAGCAGGCATGAATGAAACAAGGGCGGCTCTCACAAAGTCCGTTCAGCGACTGCTATAACAGCATTGGGGAAAAGCGACTTACGACCAGTTTTCACACTTATGACCGTTCGAGCATCCCCGCAGTCACGGGATCAAAGTTCGACCCTTGGCTCAAATTTACGACGGCCGCTGTGTCCCAGGGTCACGTGATCCCCTTTGCTGACCCCCCTGGCCACCAAAGTCAAAGGGGGAAGCCCCGTTCACTTAACGACGGTGTCTAGAAAGGCCGTAAAACGGGGCACTTAACATTTTAGGAAGAGAAATTTTGGTCTCCGTTGGCATCCTACGTTTCTGTAAGTTTTGCAAGTTTTCCGTAACTGCTTTTTAGCTGGTTTCCCAGATTCCTTTCGAAGAGACTGGACTCTCCTCCGGCACTGCTGTCTCCCGGCAGAACAAGGCCGCCCATGATGCCACATCAGCCCTTCCTAGGAGACACAGCCCTCCTCAAATCTTAGAGCAGTGTTTCTCAACCTTGGTGACTTTAAATCCTGTAGACTTCAACTCCCAGAATTCCCCAGCCAGCTATGCTGGCT